TGGTGACTGGTAGATGACCCATGTTCTGTATCTCAAAAACTTGAGCTGATAGGGGGAAACTAGTGCCATTTTTTGAATTGGTGGGTCAAATATACCCCAAAACAGGGTTAACATTTGAGACACCAAAATGTGGGTTGGCCAACGGTTGGTGTGTTGTCTTGAGAAAATTGCATTGGATTGACCTCGTTAATTCTAATTTCTTAGATATGGCTATCATATTCTTCTATCATGGTGACTGGTAGATGACCTATGTTCTGCATCTCAAAAACTAGAGCTGATAGGGGGGAACCGGTGCCATTTTTGGACTCAGCAGGTCAAATACGCCCCAAAAAGGGTTAACATTTGAGACACCAAAATGTGTGTGGGCCAGTGATTGGTGCGTTGGGTTGTTATAGGTTTTTCAGGCTATATGGCCATGTTCTAGAAGCATTCCCTCTTGATGTTTTGCCTGCATCTATGGCAGGCATCCTCAGAGGTTGTGAGGTTGGTGTGTTGTCTTCAGAAAATTGCATTGGATGGACCACATTGATTCTAATTTCTTCGATATGGTTATCATGTTCTTCTATCGTGGTGATTGGTAGATGACCTAAGTTCTGCATCTCAAAGACTAGAGCTGATAGGGGGAAACTGGTGCCATTTTTGGAATCAGCTGGCCAAACATACCCCAAAACATGGTTAACATTTGAGACACCAAAATGTGTGTTGGCCAAGAGTTGGTGTGTTATCTTCAGATCTGTCAGATGCCTCCCTTCTCCTCTCTCTGTTTCCATCTTTAGACCCACGTCGAGCCCTACAGCTTCATCGTCTTTTGGCCTATGTGTATTCTCAGCTTCATCCTTCTGAACAAGAGGATTCCAGACATAAGGAAGAGGACCTTTCTGGACATCAGGCGCATAGTGGCGCTCCACGTGGCTCGGAGGATCCTGATGAAGTCCTTAGCTGTGCCAAACGATTAAAGGAAAATCTTGCTAGATGGACATTATTGGCTATATTTACTTTTTGTTAAAAAGCAGTAATCCCCAGAAAACTATTGTTTATAGTTTTGTAGAGCTTGAGGAGACCACAAGAGCTGCTCAGTCCAACCCAATTGTGTCACGCACTCCCAACAGATAGCCATCAGCATTGGCTTGAAAACCTTTAGAGAAGGTCACACTCCATCCTTCACGTTCTCTTGGTCTTGTTGACCTGAGCTTGAAATGGTTACTGGGGGGGGGGGGGGGGGGGGGGGGCATGATTTGGAAAATCCCCAGCCACCATCCCCAGTGAGCACTCTAGCTGTGGGAATCAATAGAAATCTGGACTTGTTCATGTGGACAATTCCAGATTCCCAGAGAAGGGATGTTCAAGCTCTATTATAAAGATCCTCCAACTATTGGAGATGCTTGGAGATGTTCAGTGCATTTTTATGTTAGACCTGGTGTGAATCAGGTCTAACATATAGAGACCCTGGATTGTATTACGCAGCCAATTAAATGTGCAGGGACGTTCTTCTCCCACATTGACCTCCTGGTTTGTGGGAACCACCCATGGTTTCCAACCCCAACTGTCAACAAACAAGTTCTTCTCAGCTAGTGCAGCTAGTGCTTGTATTACACAGCTAATTCAATGTGCAGGGACGTTCTTCTCCCACATTGACCTCCTAGTTTGTGGGAACCTCACATGGTTTCCAATCCCAACTGTCAACAAACAAGTTCTTCTCTGGAACCCTCCATCCGACTTCCCCCATTGGCTCTCGCAAAGGCCTGAAGCTTCCGACAGACGTCCTTTGAGTAGAATTGTCTTCTTCATCGTCTTCTCACCAGAAGGAAAGAGCTATGGTCAGTCTAAGTGTGTTCTCTGCTTCTCCGTTGCCCACAGGAGGTAAGAAGCCTGGCCCTAGCGTGAAAATTATAGGGAAATATACTAGAGCAGTGGTTCCCAACCTTTTTTTTTTGACCAGGTACCACTTGACCAAGAACCACTTGATCAGGGACCAATTGGACCAGGGACCACTTTCACCAGGGACCACTTAACCATGGACCACTTGACCAGGGGCCACTTTGACCAGGGTCCATATTGACCAGGGACCACTTTGACCAGGGACTCCTTTGACCAGGGACCACTTGACCAGGGACCCCTTTGACCAGGGACCATTTAACCATGGACCACTTTGACCAGGGTCCATATTGACCCAGGACTACTTGCCCAGGGACCACTTTGACCAGGGACATCTTTGACCAGGGACTCCTTTGACCAGGGACCACTTGACCAGGGACCAATTGGACCAGGTACCATTTGACCATGGACCACTTTGACCAGAGTCCATATTGACCAGAGACTACTTGACCAGGGACCACTTTGACCAGGGACATCTTTGACCAGGGACTCCTTTGACCAGGTACCATTTGACCATGGACCACTTTGACCAGAGTCCATATTGACCAGAGACTACTTGACCAGGGACCACTTTGACCAGGGACATCTTTGACCAGGGACTCCTTTGACCAGGTACCATTTGACCATGGACCACTTTGACCAGAGTCCATATTGACCAGAGACTACTTGACCAGGGACCACTTTGACCAGGGACATCTTTGACCAGGGACTACTTGACCAGGGACCAATTGGACCAGGTACCATTTGACCATGGACCACTTTGACCAGAGTCCATATTGACCAGAGACTACTTGACCAGGGACCACTTTGACCAGGGACACCTTTGACCAGGGACCAATTGGACCAGGGACCACTCCCCAACATTAGTACCAAAAGGGTTACGAATCAGTTTTTGGTCAACTCTAGATTCAGTTTGGTTATTTGGGTGCTGATTCAGAAAATTGTGTTGGATAGACTCTAGTTCCATACATCAGTCTAGTTTCTGATGCAGAACACATGCCATCCAGTAGTCGCCATCTGCTCACCCACAGAAAACCATATTTAATAAGCCTTCGCACTATAAGACCTGTCACTCTCGTTGCAACAGTGTAGTAACGGTGAGGCTGCGGACCATATTATAGTTCTCGTGGACCACTGGTGGTCCACGAACCACAGGTTGGGAGCCACTGTACTAGAGGTTTGCTGATAGGAAGACCCTGAAGTCTGGACCAAGCATAACATTCAGTGAACAAATTTGACCCACTGCATAGCAAAACTCCAAATAAAAGGTGTGGGGAAAGTGCAGGCCACGTGCAGCCCCTAAAACCCACTTTTGTGGTCCCCAAAGTCTACAAACTGTTTTTAATCAAGTATTTATTTATTTACAGTATTTATACCCTGCAGGGGACTCAGGGCGGATTACAATGCACATATACATGGCAAACATTCAATGCCATTAGACATATAACATATATAGACAGACACAGAGACAATTTAACATTCCAGCTCTCCGGCTTCATGAGGGTATGCTCGATTCTGACGACAGGGGGAGCCACCACTTCACCGTCCACTTGTCACACCGAGTCTTTGATAGAGTACTTCCTCATTCTTACGTACACTGCTGGAAGGTTTTATGGTGTCTTAAATTAGTTAATTTAGCCTCTCCGCATAAAGCGGTACCTAAATTTCCTACTTGACAGATGCAACTGTCTTTCGGGCTGCATAGGTCAACAGCAAGCTAGACTATTAATGGTTGGGACCTCACTCTGACCCGGACTGGCTTCGAACTCATGACCTCTCGGTCAGTAGTGATTTAATGCAGCTTCACCATCCACTTGGGACACCGTGTCCTTGATGGAGTACCTCATTCTTACACCCTATGGAAGGTTTTATGGTGTCGTAAATTAGTTAAATTAGCCTCCTCGAATAATGTGGTACCTAAATTTCCTACTTGACAGATGCAACTGTCTTTCGGGCTGCATAGGTCGACAGCAAGCTAGACTATTAATGGTTGGTAGCACACTCTGACCCGAGCTGGCTTTGAACTCATGACCTCTCAGTCAGTAGTGATTTAATGTAGCTAGCTACTAACTAGCTGCACCACAGAATGGCTTTCAGCTCCAAAATCACGCCTCCAAACCATTCATTTGCCTTCTCCTCATGTTGTCCCTCGATCTCTTTTGATTGTAGAACAAAATTATTTGGGGGTCACAAACAGGCACCAAACAAGGACTTTTTCAGCTCAAAACGAGCCCTCAAGCAAAGCTTAGAATGCAATGCTCGAAGTTTTCAAACACTTAATGCTTTACTATATACAGGAAACAATATCACACTCAATTAACCGTAACAGCTGCAACAGAAAAAGCCCTGATACTTACTATGACTTTAAAAAAAGCCCATTGCAAACCATTAGTAGCAACAGCAATGGGAATAGAATGGGGTCTTGCCCCCCTTGTGGTGGCCCACCCACTGCTGTACAGTTTCCCTAATGTTCTTCGGTGAACTGATAAAGTCATTCTCTTCCCCTTCAGTTGAGCCTGATTCCTTGTTTCCTGCACAAATAACATGGTAAACAATGCAGAGCAGAATGAATCAGCATTGGGTACCACGGATAGCAGCGCAAGAGATCCGGCAGTCCCATCGGCAGAGCAACCCCAAAGCAGACTACGCCCTATAGGCAGCAGTACGCGATATGTAACGGCTCCATCCCAAAAACGCCGCCAATCGATCACAGGCTCCAAGGAAAGCAGTTCGCGACAGCTGACAGTTCCATCGTCAGAACGTCACCAACTGGGACCCGGCGTCATAGGGCCCAGTACCCCAGCATCAGAACACAGCCAATCAGGAACTAGATCCATGGACAGCAGTTGGCAGAGTTTGATGGTCCCATCAGCAGAACGCCAGCAACTGGGACCCGGCGTCATAGGGACCAGAACCCCAGTATCAGAATACAGCCCATCAGTAACTACATCCATGGACAGCAGTTGGCAGAGTTTGATGGTCCCATCAGCAGAGAGTCGCCAGTCCGGACCCGGCGTCATCGAGAGCAGTACGCGCAACATGTTCGCCCCCACATCAGGACACAGTTCGCGACAGCAAAGCAGTTCGCGACAGCTGACAGTCCCATCATCAGAGCGTCACCAATCAGGACCAGGCGTCATCGAAAGCGGTACGCGCTATGTGATCGGCCCAGAATTGGAACGCCGCCAATCAGCAACAGGATCCAAGGAAGGCAGTTCGCGGCAGCTGACAGTCCCATCATCTGAACGTCACCAATCAGGACCGGGCGTCATAGGGACCACTACCCCAGCATCAGAATACAGCCAATCAATAACTAGATCCATGGACAGCGGTTGGCAGAATCTGATGGTCCCGTCAGCAGAGAGTCACCAATCAGGACCCGGCGTCATCGAGAGCAGTACGCGCAACGTGTTCGTCCCGGCATCAGAACACAGGTTGCGACAGGAAAGCAATTTGCGACAGCTGACAGTCCCATCGTCAGAGCGTCACCAATCAGGACCGGGCGTCATCAAGAGCGGTACGCGCAACATCATCGTCCCAGAGTCAGAACGCCGCCAGTCGGTAACAGGATCCAAGGAAGGCAGTTCGCGGCAGCTGACAGTCCCATCATCAGAGCGTCGCCAATCAGGACCGGGTGTCATCGAGAGCAGTACGCGCAACGTCATCGTTCCAGAGTCGGAACGCCGGCAATCAGTAACAGGCTCCAAGGAAGGCAGTTCTCGGCAGCTGACAATCCCATCGTCAGTACGTCGCCAATCAGGACCAGGTATCATCGGGAGCAGTACGCGGAATGTGATCGTCCCAGGGTCCAGTCACCCCCAATCAATAGCAGGGACGTTCGACAGCAGTTCAAGAAGTCTGACGATCCCTTCATCGATATCCAAGCCATCAGAAAAATCAGTTGCAGGAAGCGTTAAGAGAAATTTAGCAGTCTTGCCGCCGGAAAGCTGGGCATCCGTCCTAAGTGGCAAGAGAGGCAGTACGAGAGGACCCGAACATCGCAAATCAGTATCGCCTTCCTCGAGAGGTAGTGATTCAAAAGAACGGAAAGCTTCATCGGAGCACCATCATACCAGAACAGGGTCGGGCGGCAGGAAATCAATAGTTGCCAAGTTGCTATTTACTCACCGGGGAACATTGCCTAAGCCGATACCAAGACCGAAGACCGAACACCGCAGATATGTAAGTCAGAAATGTATGGAAATGTCACAGTTTACCGTTAGACACAAACCCAACAAGGAAAATGTTACACAATTTTATATTCTACCCAGGGACTATCATGTGCTGGGGAATTCGGAATGCAGCCTTTAAGACCTGTATTGCATAACTGTGCACCTTTGAAAAAGATATTTAGACATTACAGTGTTTCTCAACCTTCCTAATGCCGCGACCCCTTAATACAGTTCCTCATGTTGTGCTGACACCCCAACCAAAAAATTATTTTCGTTGCTACTTCATCACTGTAATTTGCTACTGTTCTGAATCATAATGTAAATATCAGATATGCAGGATAATTTTTCATTCACTGGACCAAATTGGGTACAAATATTTATTTATTTATTTATTTGGTACACTTATATACCGCCAGTATCTCAGCCTAGAACGGCGACTCACTGCGGTTAACAGCATTTAAAACAACAATAAAAATATAAAAACACATACATATATAAAACACAGTATTGGGCCACCAATACAGACCAGTGCATCTCTTAAATAAAAATCACAGTCCAATTCATTGTCGGTAATTGCCAGTCCTTGGTCAAAAACAACATCGTGACAGATTAGCCGAATGCTTGCTCGAACATCCATGTTTTTGTCATTTGGGAATTGTAGTTGCTGGGATTTATAGTTCACCTACAAACAAAGAGCATACTGAACCCCACCAACAATAGAATTGGGCCAAACTTCCCACACAGAACCGCCATGTATTGAAGGGACTTGCTGGTGTGAGCCTCCTTCCAGCCTCACATGTTCTCCCTCACCAGCGTGTGCGCACCACACTGCCATGTACTGAGCATGCCTGCTCTCCTCTCCCTGCTTGATCTCAGAAACTGCCCTCCCCTAGAATTGGGCCAAACCTCCCACACAGAACTGCCATGCCTTGAACGGCCTCCCTCCAGTCACACACGCTCTCCCTCACCCACATATGCACACCATCATTGTTGGACTCAAACATTGATCGATCTGGACCAAACTTGGCACAGATACTCAATATGTCCAAATGTGAACACTAGTGGAGTTTGGGAAAATAGACCTTGAGCATTTGGGAGTTGTAGTTGCTGCAATTTATAGTTCACCTACAATCAAAGTGCTTTCTGACCCCCACCAATGATCGAATTGGGCCAAACTTGCAACACAGAAGAGACTCGCTGGTGTGAGCCTCCCTCCAGCCTCGCATGCTCTCCCTCTCCCACACATATGCACAATGCTACCATGCGTCGAGCATGCCTGCTCTCCCCTCCCTGCTTTGAGTCTCAGAAACGGCCCTCCCCTTAGCTGAGAGGCCAACCAATCACAGCAGTGAGGGCTTTTGGTGGGAGTATCCACCATCTGTTTCCTAAAAGGAAGAGAAGGACAGGGAGAGCGATCTTCAGTCTCTCTGCCAACGGGCTTTCCAAGAGCATCAGAAATATGTGTTTTCTAATGGTCTTTGGAGACCCCTCTGAAACCCCCTCACAATCCACTCAGGGGTCCCGACCCCCAGGTTGAGAAACACTGTTCTAAAAGATGCATGATTAGCACACTTAGTCCTTCCCTTTGGTGATTTTAATGGAGTGGGATGCATTTATCTCTAAGGTCTTTATAGCTGGAGCAATCCAAAAACATACGAGTCAAATTCGAAGTGCCTCCACATTAAGGTTGGTTTAGTTCCCCATGTCCTTTGGGAAAAGCAAACAAGTGGAAAATCCCAAATTCATGATAACACGATTGTGCTTTTTACTTCTGTGAGTTTAGGCCCATGCCCTCTTATGCCATGAAGATAAACCCTGAACACTGCTTAGAAAGAATTTTAAGCAAAAGATCAGAGCAATTCGGAAATTTTGGAAAGTTCCGAAAGTTCAAAAAAAATTGGGAAAAATTCAGAATTCAATTCCAAATCGAACCACCAGCGCCCCCTACTTCCGAAATGAGTTTTGAACCATTTTTAATCAACCAAGTCTAATATATATAGTAAATAAAGTAGGAGTGTCGTTTTCATTGAAAGCTGAATTTATTATTTATTATTTATTATTTATTTAAAACTTTTGTGTCTTGATCTTCTCTACCTCCGTAGAGGGACTCAGACCAGCTAACAGCAAGGATTCAATGCTAACAATACAATCTAAAACATCGTACATCAACAATAAATAAAAATACATATAGACTAAAATACATAAAAGCCAGTTCGTCAAGATAAAATCATGTCCAACTCAGTCCGCATATGTGATCGATAACGTTAGTCAATTGCCATTCTCCGCCACCATTCTGGGAATGCCTCGTTCCATAGCCAGAATTTCACTAGCTTCCTGAAAGTCAGGAGGGAGGGGGCAGATCTGATCTCAATCGGGAGAGAGTTCCATAGCCGGGGGGCCACCACAGAAAAGGCCCTGTCTCTCATTCCCACAAGAGTCTGGTGTTTGTGCCTTGCAAGATGAAAAGACTGAGATAAGAACAGGTGATTAATCTCAACTTTCCTGACAAAAAAGCCAAAAATACTCTCAGTTAATGTCAATGGCCTTAACGCACTAAACAAAAGGAAAAAAGACATTCCAATTCCTAAATTCAACAGAGGCAGATACTATCCAGGATTTTCTGGATGTTAAATCCTTTCAGTCATTAACTAAAAAGTTATTGTCTCCTTTTCCTCTCAATAGGAGCTGACGAAGCCTCTTCTTATGATTACAGTGATTACATCCTTTGGATCATCTGTCCAGCAGGGCTATAACCTCTGGGTTATCACCAATCCATCAAGGGTAAGATTGTTCTTCAGCTTCATCTGAGCTCTTTGAAAACCATAAGAGTTACTTGTTTGTACTTCAGATCCCATAGTTCCTCCACACTCTCATTGCCTCCTTTGCAAGAAGGAAGTCATAACTATTTGAAGCTTCTGAGCAGTCTTCAAAGGCAACCCCACGTAGAGCGCATTGCAGTAGTCTATCCTGGATGTAATGAGAGTGTGGACCAGTGCCTGGCTCTCCTCTTCCTCTTCTTCCTCCACTTCCTCATCACCAGATCACGATTTTTCACTTATCGCGGGGGTACAATCCAGGAAGAAAAGTGGGGTTCAGGGTTAGGATGTTGTTAACTGCTATCAAGTCAACTATGACTTATGGTGACCCCATGAATGAGAGGCCTCCAAGCATTCAGTTACGGTTTCCTTGAATGACTATCCGCCCGTGATGCATTCCTCCACTTTTCAAACAGCCTTTCACTTTACCAAGCATCATGAGCCGTGTCTTCTCATGATATAGCCAAAGGACGACAGCCTCAATTTAAACACCTTCTATACTGCCATATAAAATATCAGTATATAATAGTATCTGATTGAAAATCGCATATACAGTGTTCCCTCATTATCGTGGGGGTTCTGTTCCAGGAACCTCTGCAATAAGTAAAAATCTGCGATGTAGGGATGAGGAAGAGGAGGAAGAAGAGGAAGAGGAGGAGGAGAGCTAGGCACTGGTCCACACTCTCGTTACATCCAGGATAGACTACTGCAATGCGCTATATGTGGGGTTGCCTTTGAAGACTACTCGGAAGCTTCAAATAGTCCAATGAGAGGCAGCCAGGTTAATAACTGGGGCAGCATAGAGGGAGCACACCACTCCCGTGTTACGCCAGCTCCACTGGCTGCCTGTTTGCTACCGGGCACAATCCAAAGTGCTGGCTTTGGCTATATAGGCTTGGGTAACCACGGAAAAATTTGGTTCTAAACTCGTTTTGTTTTTAGGGGGCCCTTGCGTTTCGTTTTTTTAAATAATTCCGAAATTTTCCTTTAAAAAATTTCAAAATTTACAAAATTTCGTAAAATTACGAATCGATTCGTTAATGGCGGACGAGATTGCGCAATATGCTAAAAAAACCTCCAAATGGGACAGGAGGAACTTCTGAAGCTTCCCTCTCCCTCTGTTGTTGACTGTTGGTGTGATAAAACAAACAACAACTATAAAACTTGCACCAGACATGCGAAAATAATTACGAAATAAATAATTACGAAGTAATTTTGAAATCATTACGAAATAATTACAAAATAAATTGAAAAAATTGTTTCGAATCTTAATTACTCCTCACACAATTCCTGCATGGATCAATATTGGATCGTAAGCTAATTTAAATACGAATTAATAACGAATTACGAAATTAACGAACGAAACCGCCCAAGCCTACTATAAAGCCCTAAACGGCCCAATTTACCTGTCCGAACGCATATCCTCCTATGAACCATCACGGAGATTAAGATCCTCCAGGGAGGCCCTGCTCTCCATCCCGCCATTGTCACAGGTGCAACTGGTGGGAACGAGAGACAGGGCCTTCTTGGTGATTGCCTCCTGACTATGGAACTCCCTTCCTGGTGAGATCAGATTGGCCCCCTCCCTCCTGTCCTTCAGAAGGATGGTAAAAACTTGGCTGTGGGACCAAGCTTTCGGGACAGGGCAATAAGGCAGTGATAGGAAACTTTACCAAGCCAATTTAGATTTGACACAGATGACCAATGACGGTTTGAACGGTGTATTTTAGTATTTTGATAAATGTTTTTAATGTTTATGCATACTCATATGAATTCTTGTCCTGGCATTGAATGTTTGCCATATATATGCTAATGCCTAAGATCAACAGAGGCGAGTTCTATAGCTATTCAGGACTTTCTGCATTACAGTGGTCCCTCGCTACTTTGTGGTTTGCTTATCCACGAAGCTCCTGACCAAAATTGTGTAGCTTGTTGTCGACCTTCGCAACCCGAAAGACAGTTGCATCTGTCAAGTAGGAAAATTAGGTACCACTTTGTGGGGAGGCTAAATTAACTGATTTACAAGGCCATAAAAAATCTCCAGGAAGTATGCAAGTATGCAAAGAATGAGGAAGTGACAGCTCCCCTGGTGGCCAGAAGCTGGAAAGTTTAGCCTCTGAGTGTCTGTCTATATATGTTGTGTGTCTATGGCATTGAATGTTTGCCATGTATATGTACATTGTAATCCGCCCTGAGTCCCCTGCGGGGTGAGAAGGGCGGAATATAAATACTGTAAATAAATAAATAAATAACCATCACTGGACCTCACTCAATTCGTCAACTATCGGCCAGTTTCCAATCTCCCCTTTTTGGGCAAATTCCTGGAACGTGTGGTGGCTTCTCAACTCCAGATATTCTCGGAAGACATGGATTATCTGGATTCGGCACAGTCTGGCTTTAGGCCGGGACATGGAACTGAAACAGCCTTGGTCGCCTTAGTGGATGATCTACGCCGGGAGCTCGACAGGGGGAGTGTGTCCCTGTTGGTTCTGCTGGACCTCTCAGCGGCCTTCAATACCGTCAACCATGGTATCCTTCTGGGACGCCTCGCGGGAATGGGTCTTGGAGGGACTGTTTTGCAGTGGCTCCGGTCCTTCCTAGACGATCGTACCCAGAAGGTGTTACTGGGAGACACCTGTTCTGCCCCACAACCATTGTCTTGTGGGGTTCCTCAGGGCTTCAATTGTCCCCCATGTTGTTTAACAACTACATGAAGCCGTTGGGAGAGATCATCCGGAGTTTCGGGGTGCGGTGTTATCTGTACGCAGATGATGTCCAACTCTGTCACTCCTTCCCACCTACTACTAAGGAGCTGTTGAGGTCCTGAACCGGTGCCTGGCTGCTGTGACGGTCTGGATGAGGGCGAACAAATTGAAATTGAATCCAGACAAGACAGAGGTACTCCTGGTCAGTCGTAAGGCCGAACAGGGTATAGGGTTACAGCCTGTGTTGGATGGGGTCACACTCCCCTGAAGACGCAGGTTCGCAGCTTGGGTGTGACCCTGGACTCATCACTGAGCCTGGAACCCCAGGTTTCGGCGGTGACCAGGGGAGCATTTGCACAGCTAAAGCTTGTGCGCCAGCTGCGCCCGTACCTTGGGAAGTCTGACTTGGCCACGGTAGTCCACGCTCTGGTTACATCCCGCATAGACTACTGCAACGCTCTCTACGTGGGGTTGCCTTTGAAGACTGCTCGGAAGCTTCAAATGGTCCAGCACTCGGCAGCCAGGTTGCTAACAGGAGCGGCACTCAGGGAGCATACTACTCCTCTGTTGCACCAGCTCCACTGGCTACCAGTTTGCTACCGGGCACAATTCAAAGTGCTGGCTTTAGCCTATAAAGCCTTAAATCCTTTAAATATGATATCTGTGCACTAGGCTTGGGTAACCACGGAAAAATTTGGTTCTAAACTCGTTTCTTTTTTAGGGGGGCCCTTGCGTTTCGTTTTTTTAAAGAATTCCGAAATTTTCCTTTAAAAAAGTTCGAAATATACGAAATTTCGTAAAATTACGAATCGATTCGTTAATGGCGGACGCGATTGCGCAATATGCTAAAAAAACCCTCCAAATGGGACAGGGAGAACTTCTGAAGCTTCCCTCTCCCTCTGTTGTTGACTGTTGGTGTGATAAAACAAACAACAACTATAAAACTTGCACCAGACATACGGAAATAATTACGAAACAATTACGAAACAATTTCGAACCAATTACGAAACAATTATGAAACAATTATGAAACAATACGAAATAAATTAGAAAAATTGTTTTGATTTTTAATTACTCCTCACAGTAGTCCTGCATGGCTCAACCCTAACCCTAACCCTAACCCCTTCTGCCGAACCCTAACCCTAACCCTAACCCCTTCTGCCGAACCCTAACCCTAACCCTAACCCCTTCTGCCGAACCCTAACCCTAACCCTAACCCCTTCTGCCGAACCCTAACCCTAACCCTAACCCCTTCTGCCGAACCCTAACCCTAACCCTAACCCCTTCTGCCGAACCCTAACCCTAACCCTAACCCCTTCTGCCGAACCCTAACCCTAACCCTAACCCCTTCTGCCGAACCCTAACCCTAACCCTAACCCCTTCTGCCGAACCCTACCCTAACCCTAACCCCTTCTGCCGAAGGGGTTTCTAAGACCATCAGAAATATATGTTTTCTGATAGTCTTTGGTGACCCCTCTGAAACCCCCTCACGACCCCCCCTGGGGTCCCGACTCCCTGCTTGAGAAACGCTGCCTTAGGGTGAGAAAAGCGGTATATAGATGTATTCAATAAATAAATATAAAAATGAAGTTATTTTTTTGTTGTTGTTGTCGTTACTATTATTGTAATTATAAGGTAGAATATAAATAAAGTATATAAATGTAGTAAATCAATAAATATAAATATAAAGTTATTGTTGATGTTGTTTTTGTTGTTGTTATTATTATTATAGGGTGGAATATAAATAAAGTATATAAATGTAGTAAATCAATAAATATAAATATAAAGTTATTGTTGTTTTTGTTGTTATTGTAGGGTGGAATATAAATAAAGTATTTATTTATTTATTTATCCATTTATTTCCCAACAGCTCATTGAAGACTTTTACAACAGCACTTACCATATCAAGAATAATGTCGGCATAGACAAAACATTTCTCTCCATCTTATACACTTTAACCCTTTCCATCTTTGCCATTGGAGGTGTTATTGGATCCCTTATATTTAGCCCCATAGTAGACAAGTTTGGCAGGTACGCAGATGACATGGTGGAATCTGGTGGGAATCTGGAGTCGGGGGGAAGAATAATTGCTCAGCGGCGGGTAAAGCACAGGCCTCTTGTGATCCATAGTGGTCAAACATTTTTTCCAATTATATATGTTCAATGTTATGTTGTTATTAGGTGTAATGTGTGAGAAAAACTCCTGATGTGTCTCTAGCCCCCTATCTCTAATGTTGGATGTGTCTCTAGCCCCCTTTCCCCAATGCCGGATGTGTCTCTAGCCCCCTTTCCCCATTGTTGGATGTGTCTCTAGCCTCCTTTCCCCAATGCCGGATGTGTCTCTAGCCCCCTTTCCCCAATGTTGGATGTGTCTCTAGCCCCCTTTCCCCAATGCCGGATGTGTCTCTAACCACCTTTCCCCAATGCCAGATGTCTCTCTATCCCCCTTTCTCCAATGCCAGATGTGCCTCTAGCCCTCTTTCTCCAATGCCGGATGTGTCTCTAGCTCCCTTTCCCCAATGTCGGATGTGTCTCTAGACCCCTTTCCCCAATGCCGGATGTGTCTCTAGACCCCTTTCCCCAATGCCGAATTTATCTCTAGCCCCCTTTCCCCAATGCCAGATGTGTCTCTATCCCCCTTTCTCCAATGCCGGATGTGTCTCTAGCCCCCTTTCCCCAATGCCAGATGTCTCTCTATCCCCCTTTCTCCAATGCTGGATTTGTCTCTAGCCCCCTTTCTCCAATGCCAGATGTGTCTCTAGCCCCCTTTCTCCAATGCCGGATGTGTCTCTAGCCCCCTTTCCCCAATGCCGGATGTGTCTCTAGACCCCTTTCCCCAATGCCGAATGTGTCTCTAGCTCCCTTTCCCCAATGCCAGATGTGTCTCTATCCCCCTTTCTCCAATGCCGGATGTGTCTCTAGCATCCTTTCTCTAATGCTAGATGTGTCTCTAGCCCCCTTTCCCCTATGCCGGATGTGTCTCTAGCCCCCTTTCTCTAATGCTGGATGTGTCCCTAGCCCCCTTTCCCCAATGCCGGATGTGTCTCTAACCCCCTTTCCCCAATGGTGGAAGTGGCAAGGGCAGCCAAAGGTTTTAGGTTTTGGAGTCTTTTGGATTCCCAGAAAGGGAAATTCGACCTTGTAACGACACCACCAGTTGTAGGGACATTACTGATTTGTCAGGGTCTCCTACAATTTGTAATGAATCTTCAAAATCTATAACACAGCCACTAGCCTGTAATATTTTGTTTATCTTCCTTTGATGTGTAGCGTGGCTTGACTCGAAAGTATACAAAACAGAGGCTTGGATTTAAGAGAAACTGTAATAAGTTTATTGAAGTATAGAAGCTTAATGGTTTCAATGTTTCTTAACTCCTAGAGGTACATTCCTTTAGTGGTTACATTTATAACCTTTCATGAAACAACTCTTAAGAGGACTGTTCTTTCCACTAGACAGGTTTTAAAGTTATTTTCTTCAAAATGTGTTTCTTTCCTTAACAGATCACTCCAAGTACTAGCCTATTCTTTCCCTCTGTTATTTCTGTTACAGTAAAGATTCTTAATGGGGTTCTCTTCCCCTTTTTACTCAAACCCTAACTACTAATCTAAATAAGTCAACTTGACCTATCTAAACCACACAGGCTAAAAGCCTAAACCTTCCTGATTCTCAACACAGTAGAACCAGCTTTCCCTGCGGTTCTCTGACCACAGACTGCCTATTTAAAATGCCTGCTCTTGCCAAGTGGCAGTTGGCTCCTCCCCTTTTTCCATGGCAACCCATCTCAGAGTGAGCTGAGCTGGCTACCATCCCCCTAGTTATGGTATTTTAAATACTTACCCCTTATACTTACCTATAATTATACTTACCTATAATTATACTTACCTATAATTATACTTACCTATAATTATACATGACTATAGGTTAAAATTCACACTTCACCACAGATCTGTTCATGGCTTACGATACTGTTTTTCCCAACCAATCCCATTGTGATTCCTTTTCCAGAAAAGGTGCCCTGATGCTAAATAACTTTCTCTCTATGGGCTCGTCCGTCCTCATGGGCCTCTCCGCGACAATACGTGCCTATGAATATACTCTCTTTTCCCGCATGGTCAATGGCATATGCTCAGGTGAGAAACACTCCTTAATTTTGTGGTTTGGTGTTGGGAGTTTTCAATATGAACATATTACGCAAGAGCCAAACAGGTCCCTAGCAATAATATATGTCAAACAAACATCAACAAATGATACATCCATCAAAATAATGAGATAGAAAAGTGGAGAACCGCTACATCGGGGTTTCTCAACCTTCCTAATGCCATGGCCCCTTAATACAGTTCCTCATGTTGTGGTGACCGCCCAACCATAACATTATTTTCGTTGCTACTTCAAAACTGTAATTTTGCTCCTGTTACGAATCGCAATGTAAATATCTGATATGTAGGAGGTATTTTCATTCACTGGACCAAATTTGGCACAAATACACCTCAATTTGAATACTGCTGGGGTTAAGGGGTATTGATTTTGGACGAATTGACACCAAATTTGGCCACAATACACTGCTCAGGCCAACAAGTGTAAGACTGTAGGTTTTATATAGCAATATTAAATGATCACTCACAAGCCGGTTTTGCTTGGAAATGAATATATTGCTTGTTTCTCTGCAGCAAAGAAAGACACTACTTACTTTTTCCCTCCACCACTTCCTTTTATACACCTTTCCTGCCCATCTCTCCCTCTTCTCAGTTTCCTTATTAGAGCTTGTTGCTTCACAAGTTCAAATACAAGGTTTCCAGCGCCCGCTGCTGGCTTGGACACTGGCCGAAAGTTGTCAAATTTAGTGGGGTCCAGTGAAGGTTTTTTCAACAGCGGTTTTTTATAGCTTGTTTTAAGCTCGCTGGAATCTTGCCTTCCCGGAGGGAGGCATTAACCACCACCTTCACCCACTCGGCCAATCCCCCTCTGGCCTCCTTTAGAAGCCAGGATGGGCAGGGGTCTAGGATGGACGTGGTAGGCCTCATTCCTCCAAGTATCTTGTCCACATCCTCGGGTTTCACCAATTGAAAAGAATCCATCAAAATAGGACTAGCAGGTGCTCGTGTTACATCCTCAGAGACTGCTTTTAACGTGGTATCCAGACCAGAGCGGATCAAAGCGACTTTGTCTGCAAAGAACTGAGCAAAAGCTTCACAGCGAGAGGCCGAATTGTCAGGGTTCCCACCTTGAGTGGTGGGATTTAAAAGGCCTCTGACAATTCGGAACAACTCAGCCGAACGGTTCTTTGCAGACGCAATAGTGGCCGCGAAGAAAGCTTTCTTCGCGGCCTTTATTGCCGCGGGTCCCTAGCCCCCTTTCCCCAATGCCGGATGTGTCTCTAACCCCCTTTCCCCAATGGTGGAAGTGGCAAGGGCAGCCAAAGGTTTTAGGTTTTGGAGTCTTTTGGATTCCCAGAAAGGGAAATTCGACCTTGTAACGACACCACCAGTTGTAGGGACATTACTGATTTGTCAGGGTCTCCTACAATTTGTAATGAATCTTCAAAATCTATAACACAGCCACTAGCCTGTAATATTTTGTTTATCTTCCTTTGATGTGTAGTGTGGCTTGACTCGAAAGTATACAAAACAGAGGCTTGGATTTAAGTGAAACTGTAATAAGTTTATTGAAGTATAGAAGCTTAATGGTTTCAATGTTTCTTAACTCCTAGAGGTACATTCCTTTAGTGGTTACATTTATAACCTTTCATGAAACAACTCTTAAGATGACTGTTCTTTCCACTAGACAGGTTTTAAAGTTATTTTCTTCAAAATGTGTTTCTTTCCTTAACAGATCACTCCAAGTACTAGCCTATTCTTTCCCTCTGTTATTTCTGTTACAGTAAAGATTCTTAATGGGGTTATCTTCCCCTTTTTACTCAAACCCTAACTACTAATCTAAATAAGTCAACTTGGCCTATCTAGACCACACAGGCTAAAAGCCTAAACCTTCCTGATTCTCAACACAGTAGAACCAGCTTTCCCTGCGGTTCTCTGACGGCAGACTGACTATTTAAAATGCCTGCTCTTGCCAAGTGGCAGTTGGCTCCTCCCCTTTTTCCATGGCAACCCATCTCAGAGTGAGCTGAGCTGGCTACCATCCCCCTAGTTATGGTATTTTAAATACTTACCCCTTATACTTACCTATAATTATACTTACCTATAATTATACTTACCTATAATTATACTTACCTATAATTATACATGACTATAGGTTAAAATTCACACTTCACCACAGATCTGTTCATGGCTTACGATACTGTTTTTCCCAACCAATCCCATTGTGATTCCTTTTCCAGAAAAGGTGCCCTGATGCTAAATAACTTTCTCTCTATGGGCTCGTCCGTCCTCATGGGCCTCTCCGCGACAATACGTGCCTATGAATATACTCTCTTTTCCCGCATGGTCAATGGCATATGCTCAGGTGAGAAACACTCCTTAATTTTGTGGTTTGGTGTTGGGAGTTTTCAATATGAACATATTACGCAAGAGCCAAACAGGTCCCTAGCAATAATATATGTCAAACAAACATCAACAAATGATACATCCATCAAAATAATGAGATAGAAAAGTGGAGAACCGCTACATCGGGGTTTCTCAACCTTCCTAATGCCATGGCCCCTTAATACAGTTCCTCATGTTGTGGTGACCGCCCAACCATAACATTATTTTCGTTGCTACTTCAAAACTGTAATTTTGCTCCTGTTACGAATCGCAATGTAAATATCTGATATGTAGGAGGTATTTTCATTCACTGGACCAAATTTGGCACAAATACACCTCAATTTGAATACTGCTGGGGTTAAGGGGTATTGATTTTGGACGAATTGACACCAAATTTGGCCACAATACACTGCTCAGGCCAACAAGTGTAAGACTGTAGGTTTTATATAGCAATATTAAATGATCACTCACAAGCCGGTTTTGCTTGGAAATGAATATATTGCTTGTTTCTCTGCAGCAAAGAAAGACACTACTTACTTTTTCCCTCCACCACTTCCTTTTATACACCTTTCCTGCCCATCTCTCCCTCTTCTCAGTTTCCTTATTAGAGCTTGTTGCTTCACAAGTTCAAATACAAGGTTTCCAGCGCCCGCTGCTGGCTTGGACACTGGCCGAAAGTTGTCAAATTTAGTGGGGTCCAGTGAAGGTTTTTTCAACAGCGGTTTTATTATAGCTTGTTTTAAGCTCGCTGGAATCTTGCCTTCCCGAAGGGAGGCATTAACCACCACCTCCACCCACTCAGCCAATCCCCCTCTGGCCTCTTTTAGAAGCCAGGATGGGCAGGGGTCTAGGATGGACGTGGTCGGCCTCATTCCTCCAAGTATCTTGTCCACATCCTCGGGCTTCACCAATTGAAATGAATCCATCAAAATAGGACAAGCAGGTGCTCTTGCTACATCCACAGAGACTGCATTTAACATGGAATCCAGACCAGAACGGATCAAAGCGACTTTGTCTGCAAAGAACCGAGCAAAAGCTTCACAGCGAGAGGTCGAGTTGTCAGGGATCCCACCTTGGGTCGTGGGATTCAAATTGTCAGGGTTCCCACCTTGGGTGGTGGGATTCAAAAGGCCTCTGACAATTCGGAACAACTCAACCGGACGGTTCTTTGCAGACGCAATAGTGGCCACGAAGAAAACTTTCTTCGCGGCCTTTATTGCCGCGGCATATGCCCTTAAAAAGGACACAAACCGTGTTCGATTTGGCTCGTTCGGATCCGAACGCCACACGCTCTCTAGTTCCCTCTTCCTTCGCTTTATCGCTGCCAGTTCCTCGGTGAACCAAGGAGCTGGTTTAGCTCGGCTACTCGAGAGGGGACGTTCCGGAGCAATCGTGTCAATTGCCCTAGTCATCTCCCCATTCCAGAGAGCGACCAGAGCATCGACAGGATCACCTACTGAGGCGGCGGGAAACTCCCCAAGAGCCATCAGGAATCCATCCGGATCCATAAGCCTCCTGGGGCGGACCAGCTTAATGGGTCCTCCACCTCTGCAGAGGTTAGGGGGTGCAGTGAGCCTAAATCTGACCAGGAAGTGGTCGGTCCATGGCAATGGAGAGATGGTTAGCTCCTCAACACCACCACCTTCCTCCCATCCCTGGGAGAAAACCAAGTACAATATGTGTCCCGCACTGTGGGTGGGAACAGATACTTGTTGGGACAGCCCCATGGTTGCCATGGCATATAATAAATAATAAATTATTTAACTTTCATTATTATTAATAATAAATTATTATTATCAATTATTATTATTTTACCAACCGTATTCCTGATTGTTCTTAACCTTTTCCTTCCTTCCTGTCTCTCTAACCAGGTATATTCGCCTGTGCTGTGCCACTATACCTGGCAGAATTGGCCCCCAAAAACCTGAGGGCAGGAATCATGACAGTCTCCAAGGTCTTTTTTATCGCTGGAATCTTGATTTGTCAGATCCTTAGCCAACCCGAACTCCTGGGGAACATGAATGGTAAACCCATGGCGGGGTGAGCCTTTGGCTTGGGGCAGGTTAGAGGCGTCCTCTCCATTCACACACTTGTCTCCTGTTTGCACAGACTGGCCCATCTTGCTAAGCATCCCAGGAGGCCTGGCTCTGTTTCAAGTCCTCATCTTACCCTTCTTCCCAGAAAGCCCGAGGTATTTACTGATTCAGAAGAGGAAGGAAGAGAGTGCGAGGCAAGGTACAAAGGGCCCCGACCTGGAAATGGGCCAAGATGTTTACTGGGCTGCCTTGGGGAGTGATGAGAATGGTAGTTCGACACATCGGGAAGGTGCCGAGGATGCATGGAAGGCAATGAGGTTGGCTGAGAAATGCCCGTATTTACTCACGTCTACGGCACCATTGAATGTATGAGGAGTGTTCATTAAAGAGTTCCCCTGCCCCACTTCTGTTTATCACAGGACACTGAAACTGCCCATGTGTAATGATATAAGTCTCTATAGGTAACATGCCAATTTACAACCCAGAACTGAGAACGGTCTTGATTTTACAGGTGCAGAAATGGAGTGAGGTTTGCGAGAGACTGATAACAGAGTCAAGGCTGAAAAGAAATCTATTCCTGGCCGCTTGGGATATAGAGTAGATTAGGGGATAAAGGTGCCAAGTACAGAATCTGTAGCCAGACGAAGCAACGTTGGAATTGAGTCAAGACGTTGTCCCAGGTCCCTGGAAGCCTTGCCTTAGATAGATTCCTGTGCTAAGTGCCTTGTTTGATTTAGGTTTTGGGGTTTTACCTTGGAAGTTCCAGTAATTTTCCCGGACTATTTGTTTCTATCTATCTAACTTTCTACCTAATTGGATTTACCTATTTTTTGTGGATGGCTTTTTTATTGCTACTGTTTTAAAGATATCTTCAATAAACTGCTTGCATTTTTACTCAGCTATGTGGTGTTTAAAGTCAGTATTGCGCACTCGAACTTTGACCAGGTGATTTAGATCTGAGTAAAAACAGTAGCTCAGTTTACTGGCCAAAGCCTTTGCCTTTCCTGTATCCTAGACTCCTATCATCTTTCAATACCGTTGGACGTCTACATTGGCAGGGTTGACTTTTTCTGGATTTTATGGATTTGAGGTTCTCTCTGGGAATCCCTAAGTCAGTGGTTCTCAACCTGTGGGTCTCCAAGGTGTTTTGCCTACAACTCCCAGAAATCCCATCCAGTTTACCAGCTGTTAGGATTCCTGGGAGTTGAAGGCCAAAACATCTTGGGACCTACAGGTTGAGAACCACCGTTGTAGGTCATACAGTGTGATTCTATGATCAGCATCAACCAGAAGTTGACCACAGAGTCATGCTGGAAGACTAGAGTTGCAATCCAATGACACCTGGGAGGTTGCGCCAGCAACTTCCCAAAAACGCTTGAGCAGATATACCTACAGGATCGGGGTTGGATCATCTCCCACCCCAAACATGAACCCATCTCTGCCGTGTCTCTCATCCAGCCTTGCAGATGCTGAGGTGCCATAGCAATGTAGACCAAGAAGTTGAAGAACTTTACCAGGAGGACCAAGCTGAGAAAGCAGAGAAGCTCATGAGCGGGATGAAGATCATCTGCTCTCGGGGCCTTCGGTGGCAAGTCATCTCCGTCGTCATCTTGATGAGTGGACAACAATTCTCCGGTTACACTGCGGTAAGGACCATCGGTTTTGTTCATCCTCACCTAGATGACCGTGTCCAGTTCTGGTCACCACAATTCAAGAAGGATATTGATAAATGGGTTGCTGTGAGTTTTTCGGACTATATGGCCAAGTTCCAGCAGCATTGTCTCCTAACATTTTGCCTGCATCTTCAGAGGTTCTGTTGGCAGTGAAACATGTGAAGTGTGTGTGTGTGTGGGTATCTATATAAATACAAATGTCATGTTCGTTTGTGGATTAACATAACTCAAAAACCACTGGACAAATTGCCTCCAAATTTGGCCACAAGACACCTACTAACCCAAGGAGTGACCATCACTCAAAAAATTGATTTTGTCATTGGAGAGTTGTAGTTGCTGGGATTTTATAGTTCACCTACAATCAAAGAGCACTCTGAACTCCACCAATGATGGGATTGAACTAAATGTGGCACACAGGTCTCCCATGACCAATAGAAAATACCACAAGGGTTTGGTGGGCATTGACCTTGAGTTTGGGAGTTATAGTTCACCTTCATCTAGAGAGCACTGTGGACTCAAACAATGATGGATCTGGACCAAACTTGGCATGAATATTCCATATGCCCAAATATGAACACAGATGGAGTTTGGGGGAAATAGACCTAGACATTTGGAAGTTGTAGTTACTGGGATTCATAGTTCACCTACAATCAAAGAGTGTTCTGAACCCCAATGACAGAATTGGGGCAAACTTCTCACACAGAACCCCCATGACCAAGAGAAAATACTTAAGGCCATCCAGTCCAACTCCCTTCACCAGGGCAAGAAAACGTAATCAAAGTCCTCCTGACAAAGCCATCCAGTCATCGAAATAGGTATATATGATTCACACACACATAGTATCATAGATTTGAAAGGGACCCCTAAAGAAAGACAATGATATGTTGCATGTTGCAGAGTAGGCAAACCAAACAATCTCCACATCAACACTGGCAAAGAAGCAGCAAGAAATGATATTTACCCACAAGCATAAAGAAATTACATATATTAGAAAACAACTTGGGAGGGCCACCAGATTGGGCCACAGCAATGCGTGGCCCAGTCACACACACACACACACACACACACACACACCTGTGGAATGTCCAGGGTGGGAGAAAGAATGCTTCTCTGTTTAAACAAATGTGAATGTTCAAATTAGGAAGCTTGAAATACCATTTGAATAGTCATGAAGTTTGCAAAGTCAATCACTGAGTGTATCTGCCTAGAGGTAGCCTGACCTTTGTTAGCTGGAGGCATCCTCTGTTTGGGTGGTGTTAACTGGCCCTTGTTTGCTTGTTTTCAGGAGCTCTCCTGTTTCTGAGTGGTGTTCATTGCTTACTGTCTTGATTCCACCAAGGACCATCGGAAAACACATATTTTTGATGGTCTTAGGAATTTTTTTGGCACAGAAATCTGGAGATCTCTTCTCCTGTCCTTCTCTTTCCTTTTTTGCGAATCCTCCCACCAAAAGTCCTCTCAGTCAAGGGGAGGACTGTTTCTGAGACTCCAAGTGGGGAGGGGAGAGCAGACGTATTCAGCTCATGGCAGGGTGGTGCACATGTGTGGGTGAGCGAGAGCATGTGAGGCTGGAGGGAGTCCCTTCAAGCCATTGGAAGTTCTGCATGGATGATGGAGAGCGTGTGAGGCTGGAGGGAGTCCCTTCAAGCCATTGGAAGTTCTGCATGGATGATGGAGAGCGTGTGAGGCTGGAGGGAGTCCCTTCAAGCCATTGGAAGTTCTGCATGGATGATGGAGAGCGTGTGAGGCTGGAGGGAGTCCCTTCAAGCCATTGGAAGTTCTGCATGGATGATGGAGAGCGTGTGAGGCTGGAGGGAGTCCCTTCAAGCCATTGGAAGTTCTGCATGGATGATGGAGAGCGTGTGAGGCTGGAGGGAGTCCCTTCAAGCCATTGGAAGTTCTGCATGGATGATGGAGAGCGTGTGAGGCTGGAGGGAGTCCCTTCAAGCCATTGGAAGTTCTGCATGGATGATGGAGAGCGTGTGAGGCTGGAGGGAGTCCCTTCAAGCCATTGGAAGTTCTGCATGGATGATGGAGAGCGTGTGAGGCTGGAGGGAGTCCCTTCAAGCCATTGGAAGTTCTGCATGGATGATGGAGAGCGTGTGAGGCTGGAGGGAGTCCCTTCAAGCCATTGGGATTTCTGTGTGGGTGAGAGAGAGCGTGTGAGGCTGGAGGGAGTCCCTTCAAGCCATTGGGAGTTCTGTGTGGGTGAGGGAGAGCGTGTGAGGCTGGAGGGAGTCCCTTCAAGGCATTGGGAGTTCTGTGTGGGTGAGGGAGAGCGTATGAGGCTGGAGGGAGTCCCTTCAAGGCATTGGGAGTTCTGTGTGGGTGAGGGAGAGCGTATGAGGCTGGAGGGAGTCCCTTCAAGGCATTGGGAGTTCTGTGTGGGTGAGGGAGAGCGTGTGAGGCTGGAGGGAGTCCCTTCAAGCCATTGGGAGTTCTGCATGGATGATGGGGAGCGTGTGAGGCTGGAGGGAGTCCCTTCAAGGCATTGGGATTTCTGTGTGGGTGAGGGAGAGCATGTGAGGCTGGAGGTAGTCCGTTCAAGCCATTGGGAGTTCTGTGTGTGTAAGGGAGAGTGTATGAGGCTGGAGGGAGTCCCATCAAGCCATTGGAAGTTCTGCATGGATGATGGAGAGCATGTGAGGCTGGAGGGATTCCCTTCAAGCCATTGGAAGTTCTGCATGGATGATGGGGAGCGTGTGAGGCTGGAGGGAGTCCCTTCAAGCCATTGAGAGTTCTGTGTGGGTGAGGGAGAGCGTATGAGGCTGGAGGGAGTCCCTTCAAGGCATTGGGAGTTCTGCATGGATGATGGGGAGCGTGTGAGGCTGGAGGGAGTCCCTTCAAGGCATTGGGAGTTCTGTGTGGTGAGGGAGTGTGTGAAGCTGGAGGGAGTTCCTTCAAGGCGTTGGGAGTTCTGTGTGGGTGAGGGAGAGCGTGTGAGGCTGGAGGGAGTCCCTTCAAGCCATTGGAAGTTCTGCATGGATGATGGAGAGCGTGTGAGGCTGGAGGGAGTCCCTTCAAGCCATTGGAAGTTCTGCATGGATGATGGAGAGCGTGTGAGGCTGGAGGGAGTCCCTTCAAGCCATTGGGAGTTCTGTGTGGGTGAGGGAGAGCGTGTGAGGCTGGAGGGAGTCCCTTTGAGGCATTGGGAGTTCTGCATGGATGATGGGGAGCGTGTGAGGCTGGAGGGAGTCCCTTCAAGGCATTGGGAGTTCTGTGTGGGTGAGGGAGAGCATGTGAGGCTGGAGGGAGTCCCTTCAAGCCATTGGGAGTTCTGTGTGTGTAAGGGAGAGTGTATGAGGCTGGAGGGAGTCCCATCAAGCCATTGGAAGTTCTGCATGGATGATGGAGAGCGTGTGAGGCTGGAGGGAGTCCCTTCAAGCCATTGGAAGTTCTGCATGGATGATGGGGAGCGTGTGAGGCTGGAGGGAGTCCCTTCAAGCCATTGGAAGTTCTGCATGGATGATGGAGAGCGTGTGAGGCTGGAGGGAGTCCCTTCAAGCCATTGGGAGTTCTGTGTGGGTGAGGGAGAGCGTGTGAGGCTGGAGGGAGTCCCTTCAAGCCATTGGGAGTTCTGTGTGGGTGATGGAGAGCGTGTGAGGCTGGAGGGAGTCCCTTCAAGCCATTGGGAGTTCTGCATGGATGATGGGGAGCGTGTGAGGCTGGAGGGAGTCCCTTCAAGCCATTGGAAGTTCTGCATGGATGATGGAGAGCGTGTGAGGCTGGAGGGAGTCCCTTCAAGCCATTGGAAGTTCTGCATGGATGATGGGGAGCGTGTGAGGCTGGAGGGAGTCCCTTCAAGCCATTGGAAGTTCTGCATGGATGATGGGGAGCGTGTGAGGCTGGAGGGAGTCCCTTCAAGCCATTGGAAGTTCTGCATGGATGATGGGGAGCGTGTGAGGCTGGAGGGAGTCCCTTCAAGCCATTGGAAGTTCTGCATGGATGATGGAGAGCGTGTGAGGCTGGAGGGAGTCCCTTCAAGCCATTGGGAGTTCTGTGTGGGTGAGGGAGAGCGTGTGAGGCTGGAGGGAGTCCCTTCAAGCCATTGGAAGTTCTGCATGGATGATGGAGAGCGTGTGAGGCTGGAGGGAGTCCCTTCAAGCCATTGGGAGTTCTGCATGGATGAGGGAGAGCGTGTGAGGCTGGAGGGAGTCCCTTCGAGGCATTGGGAGTTCTGTGTGGGTGATGGAGAGCGTGTGAGGCTGGAGGGAGTCCCTTCAAGCCATTGGGAGTTCTGTGTGGGTAAGGGAGAGCGTGTGAGGCTGGAGGGAGTCCCTTCAAGGCATTGGGAGTTCTGTGTGGGTGAGAGAGAGCGTGTGAGGCTGGAGGGAGTCCCTTCAAGCCATTGGGAGTTCTGTGTGGGTAAGGGAGAGCGTGTGAGGCTGGAGGGAGTCCCTTCAAGGCATTGGGAGTTCTGTGTGGGTGAGAGAGAGCGTGTGAGGCTGGAGGGAGTCCCTTCGAGGCATTGGGAGTTCTGTGTGGGTGATGGAGAGCGTGTGAGGCTGGAGGGAGTCCCTTCAAGCCATTGGGAGTTCTGTGTGGGTAAGGGAGAGCGTGTGAGGCTGGAGGGAGTCCCTTCAAGGCATTGGGAGTTCTGTGTGGGTGAGAGAGAGCGTGTGAGGCTGGAGGGAGTCCCTTCGAGGCATTGGGAGTTCTGTGTGGGTGATGGAGAGCGTATGAGGCTGGAGGGAGTCCCTTCAAGCCATTGGGAGTTCTGTGTGGGTAAGGGAGAGCGTGTGAGGCTGGAGGGAGTCCCTTCAAGGCATTGGGAGTTCTGTGTGGGTGAGGGAGAGCGTGTGAGGCTGGAGGGAGTCCCTTCAAGGCATTGGGAGTTCTGTGTGGGTGAGGGAGAGCGTGTGAGGCTGGAGGGAGTCCCTTCAAGCCATTGGGAGTTCTGTGTGGGTGAGGGAGAGTGTGTGAGGCTGGAGGGAGTCCCTTCAAGCCATTGGGAGTTCTGTGTGGGTGAGGAGAGCGTGTGAGGCTGGAGGGAGTCCCTTCAAGCCATTGGGAGTTCTGCATGGATGATGGAGAGCGTGTGAGGCTGGAGGGAGTCCCTTCAAGCCATTGGGAGTTCTGCATGGATAATGGAGAGCGTGTGAGGCTGGAGGGAGTCCCTTCAAGCCATTGGGAGTTCTGCATGGATGATGGAGAGCGTATGAGGCTGGAGGGAGTCCCTTCAAGCCATTGGGAGTTCTGCATGGATAATGGAGAGCGTGTGAGGCTGGAGGGAGTCCCTTCAAGCCATTGGGAGTTCTGCATGGATGATGGAGAGCGTATGAGGCTGGAGGGAGTCCCTTCAAGCCATTGGGAGTTCTGCATGGATAATGGAGAGCGTGTGAGGCTGGAGGGAGTCCCTTCGAGGCATTGGGAGTTCTGTGTGGGTGATGGAGAGCGTGTGAGGCTGGAGGGAGTCCCTTCAAGCCATTGGGAGTTCTGTGTGGGTAAGGGAGAGCTTGTGAGGCTGGAGGGAGTCCCTTCAAGGTATTGGGAGTTCTGTGTGGGTGAGAGAGAGCGTGTGAGGCTGGAGGGAGTCCCTTCAAGCCATTGGGAGTTCTGTGTGGGTAAGGGAGAGCGTGTGAGGCTGGAGGGAGTCCCTTCAAGGCATTGGGAGTTCTGTGTGGGTGAGAGAGAGCGTGTGAGGCTGGAGGGAGTCCCTTCGAGGCATTGGGAGTTCTGTGTGGGTGATGGAGAGCGTATGAGGCTGGAGGGAGTCCCTTCAAGCCATTGGGAGTTCTGTGTGGGTAAGGGAGAGCGTGTGAGGCTGGAGGGAGTCCCTTCAAGGCATTGGGAGTTCTGTGTGGGTGAGAGAGAGCGTGTGAGGCTGGAGGGAGTCCCTTCGAGGCATTGGGAGTTCTGTGTGGGTGATGGAGAGCGTATGAGGCTGGAGGGAGTCCCTTCAAGCCATTGGGAGTTCTGTGTGGGTAAGGGAGAGCGTGTGAGGCTGGAGGGAGTCCCTTCAAGGCATTGGGAGTTCTGTGTGGGTGAGGGAGAGCGTATGAGGCTGGAGGGAGTCCCTTCAAGGCATTGGGAGTTCTGTGTGGGTGAAGGAGAGCGTCTGAGGCTGGAGGGAGTCCCTTCAAGCCATTGGGAGTTCTGCATGGATGATGGAGAGCGTGTGAGGCTGGAGGGAGTCCCTTCAAGGCATTGGGAGTTCTGTGTGGATGAGGGAGAGCATGTGAGGCTGGAGGGAGTCCCTTCAAGCCATTGGGAGTTCTGTGTGGGTGAGGGAGAGTGTGTGAGACTGGAGGGAGTCCCTTCAAGCCATTGGGAGTTCTGTGTGGGGAAGGAGAGCGTGTGAGGCTGGAGGGAGTCCCTTCGAGGCATTGGGAGTTCTGTGTGGGTGATGGAGAGCGTATGAGGCTGGAGGGAGTCCCTTCAAGCCATTGGGAGTTCTGTGTGGGTAAGGGAGAGCGTGTGAGGCTGGAGGGAGTCCCTTCAAGCCATTGGGAGTTCTGTGTGGGTAAGGGAGAGCGTGTGAGGCTGGAGGGAGTCCCTTCAAGGCATTGGGAGTTCTGTGTGGGTGAGAGAGAGCGTGTGAGGCTGGAGGGAGTCCCTTCAAGCCATTGGGAGTTCTGCATGGATGATGGAGAGCGTATGAGGCTGGAGGGAGTCCCTTCAAGCCATTGGGAGTTCTGCATGGATAATGGAGAGCGTGTGAGGCTGGAGGGAGTCCCTTCGAGGCATTGGGAGTTCTGTGTGGGTGATGGAGAGCGTGTGAGGCTGGAGGGAGTCCCTTCAAGCCATTGGGAGTTCTGTGTGGGTGAGGGAGAGCGTGTGAGGCTGGAGGGAGTCCCTTCAAGCCATTGGGAGTTCTGTGTGGGTGAGGGAGAGCGTGTGAGGCTGGAGGGAGTCCCTTCAAGCCATTGGGAGTTCTGTGTGGGTGAGGGAGAGCGTGTGAGGCTGGAGGGAGTCCCTTCAAGCCATTGGGAGTTCTGTGTGGGTAAGGGAGAGCGTGTGAGGCTGGAGGGAGTCCCTTCAAGGCATTGGGAGTTCTGTGTGGGTGAGAGAGAGCGTGTGAGGCTGGAGGGAGTCCCTTCAAGGCATTGGGAGTTCTGTGTGGGTGAGGGAGAGCGTATGAGGCTGGTGGGAGTCCCTTCAAGCCATTGGGAGTTCTGTGTGGGAGGGAGAGCATGTGAGGCTGGAGGGAGTCCCTTCAAGGCATTGGGAGTTCTGTGTGGGGGGAGAGCGTGTGAGGCTGGAGGGAGTCCCTTCAAGCCATTGGGAGTTCTGTGTGGGTGAGGGAGAGCGTGTGAGGCTGGAGGGAGTCCCTTCAAGCCATTGGGAGTTCTGTGTGGGTAAGGGAGAGCGTGTGAGGCTGGAGGGAGTCCCTTCAAGGCATTGGGAGTTCTGTGTGGGTGAGAGAGAGCGTGTGAGGCTGGAGGGAGTCCCTTCGAGGCATTGGGAGTTCTGTGTGGGTGATGGAGAGCGTATGAGGCTGGAGGGAGTCCCTTCAAGCCATTGGGAGTTCTGTGTGGGTAAGGGAGAGCGTGTGAGGCTGGAGGGAGTCCCTTCAAGGCATTGGGAGTTCTGTGTGGGTGAGGGAGAGCGTATGAGGCTGGAGGGAGTCCCTTCAAGGCATTGGGAGTTCTGTGTGGGTGAAGGAGAGCGTCTGAGGCTGGAGGGAGTCCCTTCAAGCCATTGGGAGTTCTGTGTGGGGTGAGAGAGAGTGTGTGAGGCTGGTGGGAGTCCCTTCAAGGCATTGGGAGTTCTGTGTGGGTGAGGGAGAGAGTGTGAGGCTGGAGGGAGTCCCTTCAAGGCATTGGGAGTTCTGTGTGGGTGAGGGAGAGTGTGTGAGACTGGTGGGAGTCCCTTCAAGCCATTGGGAGTTCTGTGTGGGTGAGGGAGAGCGTGTGAGGCTGGAGGGAGTCCCTTCAAGCATTGGGAGTTCTGTGTGGAGAGTGTGTGAGGCTGGAGGGAGTCCCTTCAAGCCATTGGGAGTTCTGTGTGGGTGAGGGAGAGCGTGTGAGGCTGGCGGTAGTCCGTTCAAGCCATTGGGAGTTCTGTGTGCATAAGGGAGAGTGTATGATTCTGGAGGGAGTCCCATCAAGCCATTGGAAGTTCTGCATGGATGATGTAGAGCGTGTGAGGCTGGAGGGAGTCCCTTCGAAGCATTGGGAGTTCTGTGTGGGTGATGGAGAGCGTGTGAGGCTGGAGGGAGTCCCTTCAAGCCATTGGAAGTTCTGCATGGATGATGGAGAGCGTGTGAGGCTGGAGGGAGTCCCTTCAAGCCATTGGAAGTTCTGCATGGATGATGGAGAGCGTGTGAGGCTGGAGGGAGTCCCTTCAAGCCATTGGGAGTTCTGCATGGATGATGGAGAGCGTATGAGGCTGGAGGGAGTCCCTTCGAGGCATTGGGAGTTCTGTGTGTGTAAGGGAGAGCGTGTGAGGCTGGAGGGAGTCCCTTCAAGTTTCCTTGTGGGTGAGGGAGAGTGTGTGGGGCAAATGGTGTGCATGTGCGGACAAGAGAGAGTATGAGAGCTTGGAGGGAGGATTGTGCCAGCGAGTCCCTTCAGGGTTGGGGATTCTGTGTGGGAAGTTTGGTCCAATTCTATTGTTGGTGGGGTTCAAGGGGCTCTTTGCTTGTAAGTGTACTATAAATCCCTGCATCCACAACTCCCAAATGTCAAGGTTAATTTTTTTACCCTTCCTAATGCCGCACCTCTTAATACAGTTCCTCATGTTGTGGTGACCTCCAACCATAACATTATTTTTGTTGCTTCTGTTATGAATCATCATGTAAATATCTGATATGCAGAATGTATTTTTATTCACTGGACCAAATTTGGCACAAATACCCGATATGGCCAGATTTGAATATTGGTTGGGGCATTGATGTTGTTATTTGGGAGTTGTAGTTGCTGGGATTTATAGTTCATCTACAATCAAAGAGGATTCTGAACTCTGCCAATAATGGAATTGAACCAAATTTGGTACACAGAACTCCCATAAACAACAGAAAATACTTGAAGAGTTTGGGGGATATTGACTTTGAGTTTTGGAGTTGTAGTTCACTGACATCCTGAAGGCACTGTGGACTCAAACAATGATAAACTTGGACTAAACTTGACACGGATACTCAATATGGCCAAATGTGAACACTGGTGGAGTTTGGGGGAAATAGACCTTGACTTACAGAGTTGTAGTTTCTGGGATTTATAGTTCACCTACAATCAAAAAGAATTCTGAACTCCACCAATGATAGAATTGGGCCAAACTTGTCACACAGGACCCCCATGCATTGAAGGAAATCGCTGGCGAGAGCTTCCCTTCAACCTTGCATGTTCTCCCTCGCCTGCACATGTGCCCCATGCTGACATGCGCTAAGCACGCCTGCTTGAAGTGTCAGAAACAGCCCTCCCCTTGGTTGAGAGGCCAGCCAATCACAGCGGAGAAGGGCTTTTGGTGGGAGGATTCGACATCTGTTTCCAAAAAGGACGAGAAGGACAGGCAGAGAGATCTTCAGCCTTCTCTTCCAAAGGGGTTCCTAAGACCATCATAAATATATGTTTATTGATGGTCTTTGGTGACCCCTCTGAAACCCCCTTGTGACCCCCCCAGGGGTTCCAACCCCCAGGTTGAGAAACACTGGGCTGAACCATATCCAAATGGTCAGTATAGACGGGCCTGAGCACACAATGGAGCAACAGATTCCAACTTAAGGAAAAGAGGTTCCACCTAAACATTAGGTAGAACTTCCAGATTGTATGAGCTGTTCAGCGGTGGAATATCGTGCCTCCGAGTAGGGTGGAATCTCCTTCTCTGGAGGTTTTCCTTCCCTCAGAAGAGGAGATCACTCGTTCTTTTTTCCTATGTTTCAATTATATTTTTTTTGGGGGGGGGTGTCCTCTGTTTTTAGGCGTCCATTTTGTATGAGCGAATCTACAGGTCAATGTCGCTAAACACGGCTGACATCCAGTATATTGGCTTGGTTTCGACCGTTTCGCTCCTCTTGGCCTTGATAATAGTGGTAAGTTGGTTACTATCTTGTACCTTCTTGTGTCGTCACACCCAGACCCGATAGAATTAAAACTAAGATGTGCTTCTCTCTTTATCTGGGTGAACCGCCGGGGTCTTTCTTTGAAGCAATAACTCAATACTTTCAGCAACTGATGCCAGTCAAGAAATGAACATCAACAAATATAGGTTAGTCAAAATGAATAGGCCAATAAGAAAATTAATTTTAGACGAATGTATGTTTACTGTAACCAAACCACAGCTACATAGCGACAGATAAACTATCAAAGTTTTTTTTGAGCAACACACATGTACGTTAATGCCGCTAGGCGTCGCTAGGGGTCGCTGTTTTCAAAATGGCGGAATCAAGCAAAGAGAAGGCGTTTTGTGTGATGACATTTGCTAAAACAATGTCAGTAATTACGGTCCAGCGAGAATTTCGAGCCAAGTATGGCAAGGAACCACCTCATCGACATTCCATTGCGAGGTGGGTAAAGCAATTTGAGGAGACGGGCTGCTTATGCAAGGGTAAAACCACAGGACGACCACGTGTCTCCGAAGACACAGCTGCATTCGATGCCATTACGTCGGATGTGCTGCAACGGATGTGGAATGAACTGGACTATCGCTTGGACATCTGCCGTGTCACACGGGGCGCCCATATCGAACATCTCTGAAGGTGAGACAAACTTTGATAGTTTATCTGTCGCTACGTAGCTGTAGTTTGGTTACAATAAACATACATTCGTCTAAAATTAATTTTCCTATTGGCCTATTCATTTTGACTAACCCTGTATTTATTTCCAAAGTCCTTGGCAGACTTGGCACAGCTTGACAAAGTTACAACACAAACAGTCATTTGGGAAACCACAGAGATGTTCTTTCTTTCCTTTTCTTTCGATTACTGAGGTAACTTTTCTCCAAATGGTAGAAAAAATCCTGGGATCTTTCACCTTAACCCTGAGCTGCTATGGTTAGAAAGAACAGGTCTTCCCCTATCTAAGCTCAAGGTTTATTTATTTATTTATCGTATCCGGCAACCGAACAGTTGTATTACAATTTCTCAACAATACAGTTGTATTACATTTTTGACAGAACAAACAAACAAACAAACATCCAAAAGACACAGAGTTTGCAAGCTTGGTAGTTGATTAAATGTCCTTTGGCCAGTATCTGGCCCCTTGGAGTGCCTCTGGTGTTGCTGCAAGGAGGTCCCCCATTGTGCATGTGGTAGGCTCAGGTTGCATTGCAGCAGGTGGTCAGTGGTTTCCTCTTCTCCACACTCGCATGTCGTGGATTCCACTTTGTGGACCCATTTCTAAGGTTGGCTCTGCATCTCGTGGTGCCAGAGCAGAGTCTGTTCAGCGCCTTCCAAGTCGCCCTCTGTGTGCCCAGGAGGGAGTCTCTCATTGGGTATCAGCCATAGATTGAGGCTCTGGGTTTGAGCCTGCCACTTTTGGACTCTCGCTTGCTGAGGTGTTCCAGCGAGTGTCTCTGTAGATCTTAGAAAACTATTTCTTGATTTAAGTCGTTGACGTGCTGGCTGATACCCAAACAGGGGATGAGCTGGAGATGTCTCTGCCTTGGTCCTTTCACTATTGGGTGCTCCTTCCCGGCGGATGTCAGGTGGTGCAATACCAGCTAAGCAGTGTAATTTCTCCAGTGGTGTAGGGCAGACACCCTGTGATAATGCGGCATGTCTCATTAAGAGCCACATCCACTGTTTTAGTATGGTGAGATGTGTTCCACACTGGGCATGCATACTCAGCAGCAGAGTAGCATAGCACAAGGGCAGATGTCTTCACTGTGTCTGGTTGTGATCCCCAGGTTGTGCCAGTCAGCTTTCGTATGATATTGTTTCTAGCACCCACTTTTTGCTTGATATTCAGGCAGTGCTTCTTGTAGGTCAGAGCACGGTCCAGAGTGACTCCCAGGGATTTGGGTGTGCTGCAATGCTCCAGTGGGATTCCTTCCAGGTAATAATCCTCAGAGCTCGGGATGCTTGTCTGTTCTTAAGGTGAAAAGCACATGTCTGTGTTTTAGATGGATTAGGGATCAGCTGTTTTTCCCTGTAGTAGGCAGTAAGGGCACCTAGAGCTTTGGAGAGCTTCTGTTCAACCATCTCAAGCTCCCTGCTTGAGCGGTGATGGCATGATCATCAGCATAGATGAAGCTCTCTGTCCCTTCTGGCAGTGGCTGGTCATTTGTGTAGATGTTGAACATGGATGGAGCAAGCACGCTCCCCTGAAGCAGGCTGTTCTTCTGCTTCCACCATCTGCTTCTCTGGCCCAGGGACTCAACAAAAAAGCATTTCTGTGTTCTCAAATAATCTGCTGTGTCCAGGCTGGTTCCTCAGGTGCTCTGCTATGGCTGACTTCCCTGGTTGAAGTAGTCTGCAGTGCCTTTCGTGTTCCTTGATTTGTGTTTGGGCGCTGCGTTTGGTGGTCCCTATGTAAGCCTGGACACAGCATATTATTTGAGAACACAGAAATGCTGGACCACTCCAACAACCACCATGTCAGACTACACAGAGAAGCCATTGAAATCCACAAGAAGCATGTGGACAATTTCAACAGAAAGGAAGAGACCATGAAAATGAACAAAATCTGGCTACCAGTATTAAAAAACTCTAAAATTACAACAGCAAAACAGCAGAGGGGAAACAACCAGGCACATCTTAACACCTCTCAACAAAAGATTTTCCCAGGCTCAGCCAGGCCTTCAAATGCTAATGAAGGTGGTCAGTTGAAACATTCACACCTAGCTCCAGCAGAGAAGAGCTCTTTGCCCCACCCCAGCCATTCCACAGATATATAAACCCATTTTCCCATTTCCAACAGACCTCACTACCTCTGAGGATGCTTGCCATAGATGCAGGCGAAACGTCAGGAGAAATGCCTCTAGAACATGGCCCTATAGCCCGAAAAAACCCCACAAGAACCTAGTGATTCCAGCCATGAAAGCCTTCGACAATATATTGCATTATTATTATTAGAAATACATTAAACAGCATATTAAATGCTAGAAATACATTTACATTAAATTAAAAATAAATAATATTTTGTTGGGTTTTTAAAACTATATTTTTATTAAACACCCCAAAAAGGATATTATTTACATAAAGAGAGGTAGAACAACATGATAAGAGAGAAAGGGCAACCTGTTTCTTAGGCAAGGAATACTCAGAGGCGGCTCGGGCAGTTCCTTCCTCTGAAGTAGAGCCTACAGCACTTCGTATGCATTGACGGTCCCCCATTCAAGTACTCACCACAGTTGATCCTGCTTAGCTTCCAGCTCAAAAGGGATCTAGTGTTGTACACCTCTGTACTTAAATGCCACCACAGTCCAGTATACAGTGTTCTCTTCGCTTTTCGTGGACTCGTCGTTTCGCGGGTCCCGTACCTTGGGAAGTCTGACTTGGCCACGGTGGTCCACGCTCTGGTTACATCCCGAATACATTACTGCTACGCACTCTACATGGGGCTGCCTTTGAAGACGGTTCGGTTCGGAAACTTCAGTTAGTTCAACGGGCGGCAGCCAGATTACTAACCGGGGGCAGCATACAGGGAGCATACCACCCCCTGTTATGCCAGGTCCACTGGCATCCACTTGACCAGGGACCACTTTGATCAGGACCACGTTGACCAGGGACCACTTTGACTAGGGACCACTTGTCCAGGGACAACTTTGACCAGGACCATGTTGACCAAGGACCACTTTGACCAAGGACCACGGTGACCAGGGACCACTTTGACCAGGGACCACGTTGACCAAGGACCACTTTGACCAAGGACCACTTTGACCAGGAACCACTTCACCAGGGACCACTTGATCAGGGACCACTTTGACCAGGGACCACTTTGATCAGAGACTACTTGACTACTGACCACCTGACCAGGGACCACTTTGACCAGGGACCACTTTGACCAGGGACCACTTGTCCAGGGACCACTTGACCAGGGACCACTTTGACCAGGACCACGTTGACCAGGAACCACTTGACCAGGGACCACTTGATCAGGGACCACTTTGACCAGTGACCACTTTGACCAAGGACCATGGTGACCAGGGACCACTTTGACCAGGGATCACTTGTCCAGGGACCACTTGATCAGGGACCACTTGACCAGGGACCACTTTGATCAGAGACCACTTAAATACAGACCACTGACCAGGGACCACTTTGACTAGGGACCACTTGTCCAAGGGCCATTTTGATCAGGGCCCACTTGACCAGGCTCCGCTTGACCAGGAACTACTTTGATCAGGGACCACTTTGTCCAGGGACTACTTGTCCAAGGGCCATTTTGACCAGGGCCCACTTGACCAGGGTCCACTTGACCAGGGACTACTTTGACCAGGAACCATTGACCTAAGCCCACTTTGACCAAGGACAACTTAGACCAGGGCCCACTCCAACATTAGTACCAAAAGGGTTACGACCATATTTTCATTCTTGCAGACCACTGGTGGTCCATGGACCACAGGTTGGAAGCCACTGATCTAGACTGTAGAATTAATGCAGTATGACCCCCACTTCAGCTGCCTGGTGCACTGGTGCCTCACCAAATTACAACTCCCATCATTCCATAGCATTGAGCCATGGCCGTTAAAGTGGTGTCAAACGGCATTGATTCTACAGTGTGGAAGCATCTTTAGACCTTTCCAATGAGAAAGCTCATGAGCCCAACCAGTTTCTCTCTCTGCTTTTATACCTTTTAGATGTATATCATCGATACCGTGGGGCGAAGAATTCTAATTCTCCTCGGCTTCGGGATGTGCAGCATTCTCTGTGTTCTCCTCACCATGACGCTTGAGCTTCAGGTTTGCATTGCAACCCATCTAACAGCAGCTGGGCTCAACCCATAGGCATAGCTTCAGGCAGCAAATGGTTGGGGGGTGTCATACACAGAAGGCCATGCGAGACTGAAGCACCCCCTTCCTTCTCCAACAGCACACCATGCCATGGATGGCTTACCTGAGTTCAATCTTCGTCTTTATATTCTTCATTGGACACATAATTGGGCCAGGTAAGTCCGTAAGTACCAGGGTCAGGGGTGGAAGTACAGGATAAAATGGAGTCAACTGGTTTTTGTGTGGGGCCTGAGTTGAGAAGTCCCAAGCTGCAATTGACATGGTGTCATAGAGGCTGGATCTACATTGCCATATAATTCAGTTTCTGAACCCATATTATCTGCTGTCAACTGAATGAAAAGTAATGCCTCCACCTTCGTAACACCTCAACAGATGGCAGTACTGGTATGCAGCAGGTACTGGCTTGTTCAGTAGACTCCTCTACAGTTCCATTTTGGCAGGAATCCTTAGCATTGAATGGTTGTGTTGTTAAAGTGAAAAGTAATGCCTCAACCTTCGTAACTCCTCAACAGATGGCAGTACTGGTATGTGGCAGGTACTGGCTTGTTCAGTAGACTCTCCTCTACAGTTCCATTTTGGCAGGAAGCCTTAGCATTGAACGGTTGTGTTGTTAAAGTGAAAAGTAATGCCTCCACCTTCGTAACTCCTCAACAGATGGCAGTACTGGTATGCAGGTACTGGCTTGTTCAGTAGACTCTCCTCTACAGTTCCATTTTGCGGGAAGCCTTAGCTTGTGTTGTTAAAGTGAAAAGTAATGCCTCCACCTACGTAACACCTCAACAGATGGCAGTACTGGTGTGTGGCAGGTACTGGCTTGTTCAGTAGACTCTCCTCTACAGTTCCATTTTAGCCGGAAGGCTTAGCATTGAGCGGTTGTGTTGTTAAAGTGAAAAGTAATGCCTCCACCTCCGTAACTCCTCAACAGATGGCAGTACTGGTATGCAGCAGGGACTGGCTTGTTCAGTAGACTCTCCTCTACAGTTCCATTTTGGCAGGAAGCCTTAGCATTGAAGGGTTGTGTTGTTAAAGTGAAAAGTAATGCCTCCACCTTCGTAACTCCTCAACAGATGGCAGTATGGTTATGCGGCAGGTACTGGCTTGTTCAGTAGACCCTCCTCTAAAAATGTTCCATTTTGGCGGGAAGTCTAAGCATTGAACAATTGTGCTGTTAAAATAAAAATTAATGCCTCCACCTTTTAACACCTCAACAGATGGCAGTACTGGTATGTGGCAGGCACTGGCTTGTTCAGTAGACTCTCCTCTACAGTCCCATTTTGGCGGGAAGCCTTAGCATTGAATGGTTGTGTTGTTAAAGTGTGAAGTATGGAACCCTGCGCAGACGGTCGGTCAATGCGACTTAAGCAACGTGCAGTCATTGAATTCTTGACAGCAGAAGGTGTCACCTCAAAGGAGATTAGTTAGAGAATGCAAGCTGTTGATGGTGATTGTGTTGATGTGAATACTGTGCATCGTTGGGTGAGTAAGTTTAAAGATGTAGAGGTGGGAACATCTGACTTGCGTGACAAAGAAAGAGTCGGACGTCCTGTGACAGCAACCACCAAGTTTCACAAGCAAAAGAATCACAGATTGATTCAGGACGATCATTGTATCACTCAGAAAGAAATTTCAAGCTTAATCGGCATTTCACAAGAACGTGTGGGTTACATTATTGCTTTGCTTGACTATCAGAAGATCTGTGCACAATGGGCAGCCAGGATGAGAGAACTGTGAGATGCTGGTTGCAGGAACAGAGTGTCGACTTCTTCCATGATGGCTTCAGAAAACTTGTTCATCGTTGGCAGATATGTATCCAATTGTCTGGTGATTATGTGGAAAAGTGAATAGTAGTAGTTAAAGAGCATCTTCTAAGGATTATTTCTGCGTTTTATTTATTAAAATATTCCCATCCAAACCCAAGTAACGAAGGTGGAGGCATTAATTTTCATTCATCATTGGCAGAAAAGTATCCAATTGTCTGGTGGTTATGTAGAAAAGTAAATAGTGGGAGTTAAAGAGCACGTTCTAAGGATTATTTCTGCGCTTTATTTATTAAAATATTCCCATCCAAACCCAAGTAACAAAGGTAGAGGCATTACTTTTCATTCATCATTGGCAGAAAAGTATCCAATTGTCTGGTGGTTGTGTGGAAAAGTGAATAGTAGTAGTTAAAGAGCATCTTCTAAGGATTATTTCTGCGCTTTATTTATTAAAATATTCCCATCCAAACCCAAGTAACAAAGGTGGAGGCATTACTTTTCATTCATCATTGGCAGAAAAGTATCCAATTGTCTGGTGGTTGTGTGGAAAAGTGAATAAGCCTCAAGAAAAAGCCTCAAGACCTGGCTGTTCGAGAGGGCATTTAATTAAGTGCTATAATAATGTGGTAAAGATGATTGGAATGGAATAAGGAATATGAGATTGGTTATGATTCCACTATGAGACGAAGCGGATTTTTAGTGTAGTTTTTGTAATTGTTATGTAGTTTATAGGTTGTGTAATTGCCTTTTTTGTAAATTGTCTTTTATATGTGTGTACACCGCCATGAGTCGCCCTAAAGGGCTGAGAATGGCGGTTAATAAATGCATCAAATAATAATAATAATAATAATAATAGTAGTTAAAGAGCATCTTCTAAGGATTATTTCTGCGCTTTATTTATTAAAATATTCCCATCCAAACCCAAGTAACAAAGGTGGAGGCATTACTTTTCATTCATCATTGGCAGAAAAGTATCCAATTGTCCGGTGATTATGTGGAAAAGCGAATAGTGGGAGTTAAAGAGCACATTCTAAGGATCATTTCTGCATTTGATTTATTAAAATACTCCCATCTAAACCCAAGTAATGGAGGGGGAGGCATTACTTTTCATTTGTCGTTGGCAGAAATGTATCCAATTGTCTGGTGATTATGTGGAAAAGCGAATAGTGGGAGTTAAAGAGCACATTCTAAGGATTATTTCTGCATTTGATTTATTAAAATATTCCCATCCAAACTCAAGGTGGAGGCATTACTTTTCAGTCAACCCTCGCATAAGAGTCTATACTGCCATATAATCCAGTTCAAAGTAGATAATCTGGATTCAGTAACTAGATTGTTAAGGTGGGGCAGAGTGACCCTCTTCCGTGGGAATGGAGATCTGAAAGGCCTCGACTCGCATCTTTACAAATTACCAGATTTAGGGGAGGAAGTCTAGGATACAATGGACTGAATTTGTTTTTGTGTCGAGTACGAGTTGAGCGATTCCGGCCATGAAAGCCTTCAACAACACGCTTAAGGGCAAAAATTACTTCCTAGGTGTAGAGAGTAGTTAGTTTCCAGTTAGTTTCAAAAGTTACTTTGAAGGGTGTTTTAGGATCTGTTTTGCCAAGAGGTTTCCAAATCCAAAGCTACCCTCATATCCAGGGGCGGCTCGTCCATTATGCGAAGTAAGCTGTCGCAGAACACTTTTTTTTTGCCAGGGGCGCAGAGGCGCCTCTGTAAATGCCCCTCGACCGCCACTTGAGGAGCGCCCCCTCAGCTCACAACAGCCCTGGCAGTCCGGGGGGAGCCTCGGCTTTCTTGCCTCGCTGCCGGGCGATCCTCTTCCCAAAGGGGCCGGGCCCTTGAGCCTCGCCTAGCCCCTCTCGTTCCTGCTCCCCCCGGCCGCGCGAGCAGAGCCGGCGCTCAATCGTTCTCCGCGTTCGATCCCTTCCCCATGACTGGCTCCTTTTCCCGATCCCCCGGCGCCCCACCCGCCTCCTCTCCTCTCCCAAATCTGCGGGTGGGCCAAGGGGCGGAGCCGCCACACCTGGCCCGCTTCGGGTCCGGAGGCGTGTCTGAAGACCCCAGCGTGCACACCAAAAGTCGCCTCTTCTCCTGACTTTCTCTTCAGCCATTGGGACCAAGAGAGAGAGAGAGAGAGAGAGCCCTCTGGCTGGAGGTATCTCCCACCTCCGCTCCCTCCTTTGTTTTTGCGCCTACCTTCAGGAAAGGTGGGCATCTCCACCTCTCTCTCTCTCTCTCTCTCTCTCTCTTGGTCCCAATGGCTGAGGAGAAAGTCAGGAGAAGCGGTGACTTTTGGTGCACACGCCGGGGTCTTCAGGCACGCCTCCGGACCCAAAGCGGGCCAGGCAAGGGAGCAAGTGCGGCAAGTGTAGTTACTGGGATGTATAGTTCACCTACAATCAAAGAGCATTCTGAACTCCACCAATGATGGAATTGAACCAAATATGGCACACAGAACTCCCACGACGAACAGAAAATATATATCAATGATTGGTTGGGGGGGGGGGGGCACCAAAATACTGTTTGCTTACCGTTGAAAATTACCTAGGGCCGCCTCTGAGAGTTTCACATGGACCTAGAACTATGGACGTTCAGATGTTTTGAGACTGCGACTCCCATAACCCCACACTATTGCCCAAATGGCTGGCATTGATGGGAGTTGTAGGCCCAAGACAACTGCCCTGATTTTGTGAGCACGCTCTTTGCACTCTCCCTTTCTCTCCACCCAGGTGCTGTGCCACATGTGCTAATAGCAGAACTCTTCCTTCAGTCAACCCGATCCACTGCCTTCAGCTTGGCAGGATTTATGAGCTGGTTCATCTCCTTACTCTCAGGGATGGTTTTAGGTCAAGTTGAGGTGAGTGGTTTGGTGGCGAGCAAGCACTTTCCACTAAGTGGAGCATGAGTTGGACTTCTGGCTGGACCTCGACACTCCCCTCCAATCTGTGGAGCACCCAACAGACGTTGGAGAGCATGAATTAAATGACTTCCTGTTCCATTTCCACTCACACAAATGCCTATCTTTGTCTTTGATAATGTACAGTTGGGTCTCCCTTAACTTCTAAGGATTTGATTATTCATGAGTTTGATTAATATCTTCTCTCTATGTCTTCAGTATGGAAGTCCATGTGGATCCAGAATAGGTCTTCACAATCATTTATGGACCAACTCCAAGATGATGTTGGTTCTCCAGTATGACCTCCAAGATGATGCGAACTCTCTAGGTTCTCTAGTGTGACTCAATGGCCAGCTTCTACTGGAGACATTTGTAGGTCTTGTCATCTGTAGGTCCTCCAGTGCCTTTTGTGGTCAGCTTCCACCAGAAGTTGACCATCGAGTCCTGCTGAAGGACATAGAAATTCCTAGAGAAAACACTTGTGTAGGCAAGGCATTTGTATGTCCTCCAGTCAACTTCTGTAAGCACTTGTAGTTCCTCCAGTGCAATTTATGGTCCACCTCCACCAGAAGTGGGCTGTAGACTCAAGCTAGAAAACAATTTGTAGGTTCTCCAGCATGATTCTGTTGTCAACATCTAGCAGAAGTTGGCCATGAAGTCCCGCTGAAGAATCTAGAAATTCCTAGAGAACACACTTGTGTAGACAAGACATTTGTATGTCCTCCAGTCAACTTCTGTGAGCACTTGTAGTTCCTCCAGTGCCGTTTATGGTCCACTTCCAACAGAAGTTGGCTGTAGACTCAAGTTAGAAAACAATTTGTAGTTTCTCCAGCATGATTCTGTAGTCAACATCTAGCAAAAGTTGGCCATGGAGTTCCATAGGAGGACCTAGAAATTCCTATGGAAAACACTTGTGTAGGCAAGGAATTTGATTGTCCTCCAGCCAACTTCTGTAAGCACTGGTAGTTCCTCCAGTGCTCTTTATGGTCCACTTCCACCAGAAGTAGACTGTAGACTCAACAATTTATAGGTTCTCCAGCATGACTTTGTAGTCAACATCTAGCAGAAGTTGGCCATGGAGTCCCACTGGAGGACCAAGAAATTCCTAGGGGGCACACTTGTGTAGACAAGGCATTTGTATGTCCTCCAGTCAACTTCTGTAAGCACTTGTAGTTCCTCCAGTGCAGTTTATAGTCCACTTCCACCAAAAGTTGGCTGTAGAGTCAAGCTAGAAAACTTAGAGAAAACAATTTGTAGGTTCTCCTGCATGATTCTGTCATCAACATCTAGCAGAAGTTGACCATCGAGTCCAACCGGAGGACATAGAAATTCCTAGGGAAAACAATTGTGCGGGCAAGGCATTTGGATGTCCTCCAGTCAACTTCTGTAAGCACTTGTAGTTCCTCCTGTGCCATTTATGGTCCACTTTCCACCAGAAGTTGGCTGTAGACTCAAGCTAGAAAACAATTTGTAGGTTCTCCAACACAATTCTCTTGTCAACATCTAGCAGAAGTTGATCATGGAGGACCTAGAAATTCCTAGGGAAAACACTTGTGTAGGCAAGGTATTTGATTGTCCTCCAGTCAACTCCTGTAAGCACTTGTAGTTCCTCCAGTGCTGTTTATGGTCCTCTTCCACCAGAGGTTGGCTGTAGACTCAACAATGTGTAGGTTCTCCAGCATGATTCTGTCATCAACATCTAGTAGAAGTTGGCCATGGAGTCCCACTGAAGGATCTAGAAATTCCTAGAGAACACACATGTGTAGGCAAGGCATTTGTATGTCCTCCAGTCAACTTCTGTAAGTACTTGTAGTTCCTCCAGTGCACTCTATGGCCCACTTCCACCAAAAGTTGACTATAGAGTCAAGCTAGAAAACTTAGAGAGAACAATGTGTAGGTTCTCCAGTATGATTCTGTCATCAACATCTAGCACAGTGGCTCTCAACCTGGGGTCCCCAGATGTTTTTGTCCTACAACTCCCAGAAATCCCAGCCAATTTACCAGCTGTTAGGATTTCTGGGAGCTGAAGGCCCAAAACATCTGGGGACCCCAGGTTGAGAACCACCAATCTAGCAGAAGTTGGCCATGGAGTCCCACTGGAGGACCAAGGAATTCCTAGAAAACACACTTGTGTAGGCAAGACATATGTATGCCGTCCAGTCAACTTCTGAAAGCACTTGTAGTTCCTCCAGTCTACTCTATGGTCCACTTCCACCAAAAGTTGACTATAGAGTCAAGCTAGAAAACTTAGAGAGAACAATGTGTAGGTTCTCCAGCATGATTCTGTCGTCAACATCTAGCCGAAGTTGGCCATGGAGTCCCATTGGAGGACCTAGAAATTCCTAGAAAACACACTTGTGTAGGCAAGACATATGTATGCCGTCTAGTCAACTTCTGAAAGCACTTGTAGTTCCTCCAGTGCACTCTATGGTCCACTTCCACCAAAAGTTGACTATAGAGTCAAGCTAGAAAACTTAGAGAGAACAATGTGTAGGTTCTCCAGCATGATTCTGTTGTCAACATCTAGCAGAAGTTGGCCATGGAGTCCAACTGGAGGACCTAGAAATTCCTAGGGAAAACACTTGTCTAGGCAAGGTATTTGTATGTCCTCTAGCCAACTTCTGTATGCACTTGTAGTTCCTCCACTGCACTCTATGGTCCACTTCCACCAAAAGTTGACTATAGAGTCAAACTAAAAAAACTTAGAGAGAACAATGTGTAGGTTCTCCAGCATGATTCTGTCGTCAACATCTAGCCGAAGTTGGCCATCGAGTCCAACTGGAGGACCTAGAAATTCCTAGGGGAAACACTTGTGTAGGCAAGGCATTTGAAGCTAGAAAATTCACAGCAACCCAGTGATTCTAGCCATGAAAGCCTTTGACAACACAATAAATATGCTCTTGCATTGCACTCACATCTGTTTCTTTCCATTCTCTGTCTTCCCTCCTCTCCTTGCCATTTGCCATCCCCAGTCGCAGATCGGGTCCTACAGCTTCCTTCTCTTCTGGCCACTCTGCTTCGGGACCTTCTTTTACATCTTCAAGTTTATCCCCGAAACCAAGGCCAAGACCTTTCTGGATATCCGGAGGCTGATAGCGGTCCATGTGAACGTGGCCAGGAAGATCCAAGTCCAGAGCCCGGTGTCAAACGTCAAACCGGCGAACACCAAAACGCCGCCCAAAAAAGGCAAAAAGGGACTGCAAAGAGGCAAAAGAAAGAAGCGGAAAAAGTTGATACCCAGCGAGAGCAATGGATAGTGTTGTCCTCCAGAGGTAACCCAACTCTAACAACGCGGAGATGGTGGTGGCTTCGTTGTTTTGTCCTTCTGGCCGTGCTCCATTTAGACTTTTCTACTATTCTTTGGTTCGTTTTTTAAAAAAATTAATAAAAGTCAATGGTCCAAGGTTATGGTGTCGGCTTCTCATCCGAACTCAGATTTGTCGCTTTATACTCTCTCTTTTTCCCCAGTGTTGGAAGTCAAGCAGCTTATGGGATACAAGACGTTCAGGTATGATCTCATGCAGATGTAGCCAAATAAAATTAAGATGGTTTCCAACTATGTAATAATAGCGTTAAACCACTGAGCTGCTGAACTTGCTGATTGAAAGGTTGCAGGTTCGAATCCGGGGAGCGGCTTGAGCTCCCACTGTCAGCCCCAGCTTCTGCCAACCTAGCAGTTTGAAAACATGCAAATGTGAGTAAATCAATAGGTACCGCACTGGTGGGAAGGTAACGGCGCTCCATGCAGTCGTACTGGCCACATGACTTTGGAGGTGTCTATGGACAACGCCGGCTCTTCAACTTAGAAATGGAGATGAGCACCACACCCCAGAGTCGGACACGACTGGACTTAATGTCAGGGGAAAATCTTTACCTTAATAATGGTGTTACATCGCACTACAACAAAAAGCTCTATTTGTTCAACATCTTGTTGCTTTTGCATAAAACTTCACTGAGCTTGAAGATGGCGAGAGACACGATGGCTGTAGACATCCTCCTCTTGTAAGGGGCCGCAGTAGCACACTACTAGCTGCAGGAAAAAATCATGCCTTCTCCCCTGGGAATTTGATAAGGACATCTTGGCTCATGGGCATCTTGAGCTTTGTAAACTCTTCTGAGAAGCTCTATGTTGACGGAATGTAAATCTCCTATCTAACTCTTCATTAGTCTGTCGACCTGGACTTATAGAACTCCAATGTGTTGATCATAACGTAGTCTGTGCTCATTTAGAAGATGACATACAATGTATGTTATAGAACTCCTGTATGCAGTCTGTGCTCATTCAGAAGGTCTTCTTTTTTAAAAATTAAATTATTTATTTATTCAAATAGACATACATTTGCAAGGGTTTGTTGCATACAGTGCAATACTTTCCATCTATTAGTGTGAAATACTTCTCACTTTAACAACACAACCATTTAATGCTAGGGCTTCCCACCAAAATGGAACTGTAGAGGAGAGTCTACTGAACAAGCCAGTACCTGCCGAATACCAGTACTGCCACCTGTTGAGGAGTCACGAAGGTGGAGGCATTACTTTTTCTGCTAAGGCTTCCTGTCAAAATGGGTCTGTAGAGGAGAGTCTACTGAACAAGCCAGTACCTGCTGCATACGGTGTTTAAGTCGCATTGATTGACCATCTGCACAGGGTTCCATACTCTGCACTTTAACAACACAACCATTCAATGCTTAAGCTTAAGCTTCCTGCCAAAATGTAACTGTAGAGGAGAGTCTACTGAACAAGCCAGTACCTGCCGCATATCAGTACTGTCATCTATTGAGGAGTTACAAAGGTGGAGGCATTACTTTTCACTTTAACAACACAACCGTTCAATGCTAAGGCTTACTGCCAAAATGAAACTGTAGAGGAGAGTCTACTGAACAAGCCAGTACCTGCCACATACAGTGCTTAAGTCGCATTGACTTCTGTGCAGGGTT